GGGGGGGGGGAACAAAAACCAAAAAAACTTACACAGTATTGCATAAATTAAATTTACTGGGATTAATACTAATGCAGTTTAATACATGAATTTTACATTTTCTAAAATAATTGACTAGTATGACTGCTGAATTAAAAAATGGAAGCAATTTGCACTTGCTCTTTGCATTACAAAATACCCAATTTCTCTTGATACTTCCTTGCCACTACCTTATCCATGATGCCACCCACAAACAGGTCATTTAAAATTAGTAATAATAAGCTAGGTCATTAGGATCAAGATACCGTCCATCACAGAAGGTCAAGCTATGCATGAGAATTGATGAGTGCTTCTATGTTCCTAATCTCTGAAATGAATACATTCTGACCTGAAACAGGAGGCCTCTCAACTTTCTACTCAAATCTACTAAAACAAAGCAAGGTAGGACTATTTGTGAAATTGTTGAGACCTTGCTAAGTGCATCTGCAGTCTCAAAGGTATAAAATTATTTGCTTTGACATCAAAAATAGGATTACAGGAGACCATCTGAGATCAGATCAAATAATTGAAGAACAGCTCTCATAGCAAAACTTAAGTCTTCTACTTTCCCTTCCTTCACAGTATTCTACAAACTTTGAATCCCACCCCAAAAAGGTGAGCACAAAAATATAAACTATTTCCCAGCCTTCCCTCTTATCAAAGATCTTCTCCTTGCCAGATCTTCTCCTCTCTAATTCCCTCTCTCCTCCTGTTTCAGGTTTTATTACCTCTCCATCACACCATCATCTCCCTGTGGATGTGCAATTTCCCCTCCAAATTAACAACTATCAAAGCTCATTTCAGTGCCTTCACATTCAAGCTTACTGTGGTCTTCCACTGCAACCAAAAAACTAAAACATACTCTTTGTTTCCTAATCAGTTCCTAATCACACCTTATTTTAGAATTCAACTGCTCTATCTACTGTCTCCAGATCAGCAGGGAATATGAAAGTAAACAATCTGGTTTACCAGATCTGTGCTTTGCTGAAATGATTTCTAAATGTCTCCAAAACCACAGACTCTGAAAACTTTCTGGATTTTTTTTCACACAAACCTTAAATGTTCTTAAAAGAATGTGAGCATGAGAGGAAATCTGTTCCCTTGGCTCGTGCAGCCCATTCTTAGTGTTGCTCTTATCCATCCAGTAATTTCTTCAGTTTCTTTCACTGGATACTTCACACTCTCTTCTCACATTTTTGTATGTAATACCACAAAGCTCTGCCCAGATCTCCTACTCCTTTCCCTCTATGCAATTTCCTTTGCTGATGACACCCAAACGTATGTCAGAGTTTGTCACTTCTCTGTACTCAATTTAAGTTAACAGATGTGACACTTCTTATGCCAACTCAATTATCTGCCCCTTTTAACACTACCATCCTGACACCCCCCCCCCCCGCCCCAGAGCATAACCCGCAAGTCACTTTAGAGTCCACTCTCCTCTCTGTAGAAAATTTACAGCTTCTCCCTTCTCAACATTCCCAAGATCCAATTATTTTCCTCTGCATACAAATTTGAAAATTTATTCAGCTCTTAATTTTCCATCTTTCCTTAAAAGTTGCAGTCTTCATTTCAGTCTCCCAAGCTCACCAAAGCCTGAACCACTATAACCTTTCTGATGAAGATATCCATAGCCTTATCTCTGCACTTGTCCCTTCACAAATCAAATTCAGAACTTACTATCCTACCAGTAAATGATTTATACTTTCTATAACCATAGGAACTTTGCCAATACTGTAACTCCCTGTATGTCTGCCACAATTAAATCTGACTTCTATTTCATACTACCTGGAGGCATAGAATGCACGACCCACTGCAACGTCACACTTCAAATTCCTCTAGGTAATAAAAAAAGCAATGCCAATAGACAGAAATCGTTGATTTTAATGTTTTATACGTGTTTTTCAGACAACTCAATTTACATGTTCATCTGCATGCTAGATGTACCATTATAGTCAGTGCTAACAGCTTCACTTGTGTGAATTCAATAATTCTGATCTAGCCAATGCAGTCAGTGAAGCCCCTGGAGGGATTCAGCTGACCCACCGATAGACATCTATTTTAGGGTAAGCTGAGCTGCTCTGCAGCCTCTGTACAGCAACTGCACCAGGGAGATCTCCACTGAGCACAACCGCCCCTTAGACAACTGAGGTCACATGCAGGTTCCCGAATTTGGATGACTAAGCCGAGTCCAGCCGTTGTCTGTGATGAGGACTGGTTTTATTCATACAAAAGAATGTATACTGATCATATTATGATGAAATTGGGAGTACCCCTGACTTTGTGTTGCACATTTATTCAACCAGAAACTCTGTTTTTTAAGAATCCTTGTTACTGAAACACCTGCTAAATTAGGACTGGAAGAATTTAAAATGTAATTGCACAACTCCAACACAAAATGTATTTCACTTTTGATGGTTTTAAAAAACAACCTGAATTTTTCTGAAAAGAGACTTAACAAAAACATTACGTGAAAAGTAACCTGGATTTCAGACACTTTCTCTTTACACTTAGGATGAGATACATACCTTAAGTCCTACATTAATACACCTCCCTAAATAATTAATACAGAAATACTTGAAATACTGAATTTGAAAAATAAAACAATCCCATAATTGGGACAGCTCATTAATTTCATCCAACATGAAGGCTGTGGCAAGGAGAAAGCAGCTGAAATGATTTAAAGACAGCAGTATAGACAAGCTGAATACTCTTTTATTAGCTCGCAGTGAAGCCAAACTACAAATACCCTCTCTGTAAAGAATATTCAAAAGCTTGAAACTCAATTTGGACCTACACTTTCTTGTAAAACATCTAAGTTTATTGAAACAGGAATTCCACACATTTTCTGCTTGTTTATTACATTACATGTGTTGTTCAGTGGTTATTACCTGGGATTCACTAATCACACTTTGGTATCTAGATGTAATTTAGTGATCTTGACTCAATTTTATAGTAAGTGGATAGAAAAAGGCACCTCTGGAGCAAAATCCACTCTACTCTAAATCAGGTACCTAAAATAGAGGCAGATCAATCAAGACTGAAAGTTCCTATTTCTCTTCACTAGCTATAAAAGGAGCCTTAAGTATCTAGCTCAAATACAGACATCTAAAACAATATCATGATTCCCATCTAAAATGGCTTGTGTTCATCATCCTATATCCTTCTCCTTCACCTAAAAAGAGGAATCACCAGCGCTCCCTATGACTTACTATGAAATCAGCTTGACTCACTACGAAACCAGCTTATGATGACTGAGAAAACAGATGTCCTTTTTGTTTATATTTTGAGCCCCATTTCCTCTTAAGAGTGTGGTCAGTAAGGCTGAAAGCCAGTTGCACACAATTTCTATTACAGAAATACATTCACATGAGTAAAGTTTTTCTCTGGCCACCCAGGCATGCAGCAGATGGGACAAAGAAGCAACCTACAATGGAAACTGAATAAAAAGGTTCCTGCCCCCACGGAAAACCTCTGGGGGTTGCGGAGGAGGAAAAAAGTTTTCAAGTCCAATCTTCACAGGACAGGCTCTTGCATTACTGAGTTTATGTATTTGACCACTCAGTATTTCTTTCAATCATCTGTTTGGAGAGGGGGCCTTTCTGTGCATTTTAAGAACCACCCTTGAATTATTTAATATAGATGCTTTTCTTTTTGAAAATAATGCTCTTTTTACATCTTCCTATAATGAAGTCATAAATCTGGGCTGTGTCAAGATCTCAAATGTTGATCTAAGCTAAATGTCACAGGGTTTTTACAAGGCATGGACCACTCCAGTGTCTTAGAGCTCCATGTCCAAAGCAAGAACTAGTAAGTAACTATAAACAAACACACACCCCCCAAAACACACACCACAAAAAAGTTATAGCTAAGCCTTTGAGGCTTTTGCAAAGATGTTTACAGCATCTCTGATATGCCTCACTGTTTGCAGGCCTTCTCCACTGCTTTGGTGAGGCGCAGAGATACCACTTGACAGGTGCTGTGACAGCACACTTTGCTGATTCCTCATTTTAGGCGAAAGAGAAAGATGCTAAAAGCTGAAGATACTACTGCATGACAAGAAATAAAAATGGCAGTTATAAAACAAAACAGACCAGAAAAACACAAGAGCCAGCCTGTTCTGCAGCTGGAGGTGTAGAAATCTGATTGTGTGAGGCAAAGTGCACAATGCAGTCCTGGAGCATCCAGCAACAAACTAACTCTGACTTCTATAGGTTGTGAGGCACTTCAAAGCAGTGCTGACAGAGGACAGAACCTGTACAAGTCAAATGAATTTGCAGCTACCATCAATGTTATCTAACTTAACTATGTAAAATCTTAAACTTTTGTAGTGAAGAATGGCCAAATACACTTAAATTGTTCTTGCTCAGGTAATTGTACCAAACACTTAAAAGTGATGGTGAACTTCAAGCTAACACGTTGTGCATTTATGACACATGTACTGAGACTCAGAATAACCACTCCCCAGATAAGTCAGAAGTCATGCACGCTAAAAGGATCAGAGGCTCCAAGCTTTGGAGTGCTTTTGCTTCAAGCACGTTGGGACCTTCAGAGATGATTAAGTGGTAATCTTTTAAATTTCCTAATTTTGGATTCTGAATTTTAGATTTTATCATTATATGCCACAAGTAAAAAATTACTTCAGAAAGACAAATTAATGCTTCCTGTTGCATCAGAGTAACCATTCAGACAACTCATGACCTTTTAAGACAGCATGTGGTTACTTCATTATATATGAAATTATCCTGCAAAATCTACGATACTTCTTGTGCATACACTTGTAACAACGAATACAGAGAAAATGCTCCAAATCAAAAATGCTAGAGGAATTTCTTGCATTCTAAGAATCCCATGCCAGTATTTTAATTCAACTGAACAACGTAAAACTATATAAAACTCAATTCTAAGCAGCTTATCATAAACATAGCAGGACTTTGATAGTTAATCTGGTACCTAATAACACCAATATTTTAACTTTCAGTGATTCTCTTAATCCACTGATAACATACATACCTGGCATGCCTGTAGCAAGACCCTGACCAAAAGCCAAAGCTGGATTTGCTGCTGCAGCTGCTGCAAGTGACTCTGCCTGCTGCCCTTGCTGACCCTGACTGGGAGTCAGTGGGCGCTGAGTTGCTCCAGCACGCAGAACCTGGAAAAGACCAATACAACACCCTTTCCTTAAAAGATAAGAAAGCAAGCCCATTATATGCTAAAAAAGGTCTAAAAAAGATCTAGAACAGTTGCTTTGCATATTTGATGCCACTTAGCTCTGAATTTCATTTTGGCAATACTCTACCTTATTGGTTTCAAGAATATATACATACAAGTAATAAAAAGCATTAACTATTTTGCTGACAAACGTGACAATAAAATATCTGCCCTGCTCTGGACAGCAGAACTTATAATATGTTCCATCAATGGTAATGAGTATAAAGTAAGGAAAAAAAATCTCTAAGAGCGATACATTTATGATCTGCATTATTTATTAACTGAACACCTGTCCTTCCCTGATAATTGCATTTGTTTACATTATTTTCAGGCAATTGAATGATGTAAGTCTGAATACTTCAGAGCTTGTAGTAACTCGTCTAAATAATGACCACTACACTGCTAACAGTGCTGTAAAAAATGCACCCACTAAGTTTTAAGAATTCACATAACACTCCATCACCATGCAACACAGGCTTATTTTATTATGTTCTGACAGCATATCTCTGGGAATCTGACTGAAAAGCAATCTAAATTCTTGCAACTACTCTATTCCTCTTGGTTAAAATAATCTTTTCCAGGTCCAAAATAAGACGGAAATACAATTTACAATATACCCCCACAAAATATCTTACATGTGATTTGCATAAATTGGATATTAATTTTATAAAGAAAGCAAAAAAACGCTGGAAATTCAGTGTTTCAGTGATACATTCAGTTATCAATGCAGTTCACTTATAACCACGATCAGTAGGAGGAAAGAGCCACCTGAATATTAAAACAGTGATGAAGCTACTCTGGAACTTCATGATAACTCAAAGTCACTTCTTATGTTAAATTTATAAGAATGGCATTGAAATTAACCGTATTGCTAGCAAAAAAAAAAAAAAAAAATTACATTCATTCAAGTGTAAGATCATTATAAGATTTATGTTTTTCCTTTGTGAAAAAAGGTCATTTGTCTGAAAGATCATACAATGGTTTTAAAAATGCATCTAGAGTAACAATAGAAAATTAGCATTTTTTAAAAGTTACTTAAAGAAATAGAAATTTCAACAAGTTCTTACAAAAATTGCTTACTCTTGATTTATCAAAGCAAAAATAACATATGCACATGGTGATGTTGTAATTGTAATACAGTTATTCTGTCACAGAAAAAAATGCAGGGCAATCCTTCTTCCCCATGAAGCAACAGAACTACTTATAACACCTTTATTTCCCTACTTTTTAAAGGGACAAAGAAAAATTAATAAAATAATTAAATAAATTTTAAAAAATAAATTAAATAAAGCTAATTAATAAAAACAGAGATCATTTTTTTCCCAAGCTTAAAAGAAAAAATATCGTCCTAAAATTACTAAAACATCTCTTTTTTCATCCCCTTATTTTAGCTCTCTAGATTAGTTTTTAACCTTACATTCATTTTTTAATAACTGTCCAGGCAGCATTATCTAGACAAACATAACAGCACAGTAACCTAGATTAAAGGAACTATTTTTAATATTTTTTATTTTAAAAATTGGGACTGCAAAATAAGCCAAATATTTAGTATGCAGTAAATGAATTTTTAAAGACAATGATAATCAGTAATGTAAGGAAATAGAGAGTTTTTAATAGTCATTTATTATTTGATACAACACAACATCTGAATTATGTAAAATTTTCTAGAAGCTGATCCTTATATACTGAAAATGTTAAGGTAAGGCTTTAAATGCACATCTCCTTTTTATGAAGAACATACCGGTTGCTGTCCCTGTTGTGCCTGTGAAGCTGCTTGCTGATTTGCTGTGGTATTTGCTGCTGCAGCTTGCTGCTGAAATAAATTGGCTGGATACACCCCCCATGGAACACCATAATACTGAGGCGGAACCACAGCAGGACCTAAAACCGGAGAACATGATTATTCCATCTATTGCAGCTAGTTACAATAATTGTTTATATTGTTTGTAGCATCTCGCATTGATCTATCTTCTAAATGTCAAAACAGAAATCAGTATTAAAAAGAAATTAATTCCCGTATTAGTCAAAATGATACATGAACACAAATGAGTTAATTTAAAGGATTCACATCAAACCATACGTTCTCTATGAAAAAATAAATACCTTGTGAGACACAGGTGACAAAAAACAAAGTAATCAAAGCTTGTATACCAAAGAACTCTCAAAATCAGTTTCCATGGTTGGAAAAAAGATCATTTCAGAAATTCACAGAATTAACCAAATTCATCCTCCTGATAGTGATATACTGAGACTGATAATCTATTATTCCTCCTTTGCTTATAAACACAACTATTGCCTTTGCCTCCCCTGTCTACTACATCGCACTCTTCAGAGTGGGCACAGTTACCTCTACAGTCTATTGATAAAGAACCTGTAGAAGAATGAGCTCTCTATCATTGTATTGCACAGATAATGCATTATGTATACATATATTTCAGTTCTTTCTACTGCCTTTCCTGTGAAACCACCAACTGGAGATACAGGTTCTTTTTTCAAAATGTTATGCTCAGGTCTAAGCACTAGCTGGGGCTTAAATACTCATTAGTGTTGTTTCACAGCAATATCTGTTAACTTTTTAAGAGATTTTCCTGGGCTTGGGGTTTATCTGTTGTCTGGGCCTTTTAGGATGCTGGAGATCATCTTTATTCTCATGTCCACTGGAAATGGGCATGAGAAAACCTGGAATTAGAAAATTATGCACCAAGTAAAAACATACAAGGAAAGGCTAGCTGTCTCATCTTTTGAAAATAATACATACTACTAATGTCAGATGAAACCATATTAAGGATAAACACTTCTAGAACAGAAGAAACCTAATTGTGGCATATAAAAGTCCAGTGGAAAGAAATACTCAGAATCCATATATAACAGAAACTGAATCCCTTTACATTTTAGTGAAAATTTTCAAAACTGCAGTATTCATTTTCCTACAAGTCCCTCCTTCCTAGAAATGTATTTACAGAGAATAAACAGGATGGATTTCAGCTTCTTTCCAATTTCATTCAGTAAAATTACCAAGACAGACACTAGAAAGTGTTCAGTTACCTGCTAGGGTAGCTGCTGCAGCTAATCCAGCTGCAGTGTATGGGTCAGTACCTGGAGGAGCAGCACTGATAATGTATGGGTTTGGCACAAAAGCAGCTGGAGCCAAGCCTGCTGAGAATACGCCTGCTACAGTAATAAACAGAGTTTAATTATAGCTAACATACTTAGCAAGCATCATCATATTCAAACTAATCAAATCACAAAGTATATCTTAAAATCAGAACTGCTTGTACTTTGGAAGTTTCTAAGAGCAGGTACAGAATTACAGAAATCAACACTTCTACCTCTTCTCACCAGTTCTTTCTTACTAATCCCAAGGCCTAACAGCTTTGTTTCGCTGGATCTACAGACTCCAAGGAAATTTATCTCATATGTATCTACCCACCTTTGTATAGAAGGGATTATTCAAAGTGGAATTTACCTTGCCCAACTTTAACTATGTAAAAGTTACGCTAGTCTTACAACTAAATCTGTATCAGACAATCATATATCATACTTTAACTATGTAAAAGTTACACTAGTCTTACAACTAAATCTGTATCAGACAATCATCTAAGTGAATCAGCCAGATAGAATGAATCACCTGCTAAAGATACAAATCTCTTCCCACTGACAATAGGAAAAAAAAAAAATCTAACCAGATAGTTTAAATGAGATATCTGGCTTTTAAACAGCCAGTTATGAGATGCTAATCTTACTTTCAAGAATCTAAATTTGATACAAGAATTGTAATGCAAGGAGACAACTGAAGAAACTCATAGAGCCATCAAACAAAGCACCCCTACCCAGAGTTTCTCCCGTCAGTCAGGTTCATGTACTTTCTCCAACACCAAAGCATCAACCAGTCCAGCAAGCACAGCACAAACTATGCTTCTCCTTCCAAATAGGAGGCTTCTTGCTAAGTTTCTATTAACATGCATATCAGAAGATGCTGCATTTCAAAGGGCCAAGATACAGCTGACTGCTCAGTCAGCACTTTATACAAAGCAGAGGCCTCTCTGCAGTTTAAGAGAGACAGGCAGAAGACACGACTTGTGGACTCACACAAACATCTCAATCTGCCATGCTCCCAGCTCTAAGACTGTATTAGTCAGCTACATAACATGAAAGAGCTGCCACTTTTAAACCCCAGCTATAGGCTGCTGATCCCTGTCTGAACAGACCTCACAATCCAGCTAAACAAGCCGGTGGGAAAACTTAACTGTCACCATATTGCAGGAGAACATGGACACATCCCTTTGGAGATGCTGCTTCCTATTTCTGCCTGCCCTTCTCATCCTGAGAACTCTTTTTCCCTCGCAGAGGAAGCAGATAGGTGCACACACCTCAACAGCCTAGTGGTCGAGAGTGGGAAAGGCAGGAATCTTTAAATCTGCCCTACAGTGTCAGAATTTGAGGAGTTCCTTCCCTAAATAAGGAATTGCTTCCATGTGCATTCCACCCTCCCTCATCCCAAACACGTAGCTTCCCCACAGTGGCAGATAAAACTGCTGTCACTGAAATATAGCCTCCTTGTTGAGTTGCCAGCACACTAAGAACTTTATGCATTTAATTAATTCAGTGAATTACTTCAAAAGGACAGAAAAAAATGCTTACTAAAGAATTAATTCCATCACAAAGAAAGATACCCGCAAGAATAAAGAGCTATCTGTTTAAAACATGCCATTAACAAGGAAGAATAAATTAATCAACACAGAAGTTTGATTTCAAAATCCTATATACAATGGTTTTTAACTGGATTATCAAATACTAAACCGCAACAGAATAACAGAATTACGTATTTTTGTTATTTTAGTAGATAAAGTTAGTGTTTCTATCACTACTTATAGCAGAACAGCTTTTTTACTTTTTCTCTCACTTGCTGCGCTACACAAACAAAAATAATTTTTATTTCTTTGTATACAACAGTTCAAAGTAGGCAAAAATTTACGCAACGGAGAACTTTCTCTAAGGACAGGACAGTCTTACGCAGTCATTCTGAGCAGTTTTCAGGACAACCACTAAAATGGGCCAACTGATCAGTATCTATCTGAATTAGAATACTGTGGGTAAAACTGAAAGGATTATACCAATGCAACACACCCACTTTTGCCAGGGATGCCTGCTGTACTCCACAAAAACCTCACCTATGTGTGGCTGCTGAGCTGCAGCCAGTGCGTACTGCTGCTGCTGGGCTGCTGTTAACTGTTGAACAGTCAGAGCATTAGTCCTCTGGAAAAGCTATTGGAAAAGAAAAAAGATGCATTTCAGTTTTCAAAAGTCAGGGCTATAATATACTGGGATTTACTTACAAAAAAAGATTTTAAACCGAGCTTCTACGCTAGTAAGTTACTAAACTAGAAAATTATGCAGCTATATTCTTCTAGATTAAATGTACATTTATTTGCCTTTGACTAAGTCACAGACAAAACAAAATTACATGCATTATAGGCTTAAATGATTATCAAAGAGGATAATGCACAACTTAAAGGACCAATTTGGCACGTTTTCAAGTCCTGTACTAACCTGCTGCTGAGAATTGTAGTCAAAAAGTCCTACAGTAGCTCCTGAAGAGTCCATTTGTACCTGATTGCCAGGATAGTCAAACTGCAGAGAATCAAGACCAACTTGTTCCATGGCATCTAGATTCTGATTTTCTGGATTTGAAAATTCTTCTACCAGAGGCTTGTGGGCTGTAGGATTGGGAAGTGGACCTAATCCTTCTGTGGTGCTGGGATTAGGGCCCAAGCGTTCAGCTACTTCTGTTGGGGAGGCTTGTCGACTTCCAGGGGTACGACTGTTTAGAATAAATTCAAGATAGACTCTTCAGTCTTAAATAAAGCTGTCCATGGACAGACTACAGCATTTCTATTTTAAAAGGATCTCTGAACTAAGAAACTTTACAAAGGGGAGTGACAGACTGATTTTAACAATTTTAACCAGCATGCATTGATGGCTTAAGATAAAGGACACATTTCATTTCAAAGCATAATTTTATTATTTTTTTAAACTTTAAGACTATACAGCTCTTCAAATCAGTGTGAGAAAAACAAACTAATCTTTGAGGCTGTTTGAGTGAAATGGAGTGAACTCTAGTCACCTGTAACTTTTGGGATGGCTCTTTATTGCATTTTGGAAGTGACAGGAATTATCAGAAAATGTACTGAAGAGAAATTAAAAAAAAAAAAAAAAAAGGAAATGGCCAAGTGCATCTCATGCCAAAGGAGAGAAAGAAACAATAAAACTTCAATAGCTTTTCAACAGGAAAAGACAAACATACAATATAGCAAGTATCTTTGACATCTCAAAAGCAAAAAATAAATTTTTTACCTTAAGTGAAATGGACTAATAACTGCCTCATTTACATTTGACTAAAACACTTCATTTCCTACACAACTCACTTAATAGACTACACTACACCAGATGATTGGTTGGGGGAAAAAAAGTGTTCCTAATATAATCCCATTGATTCCATCTCAGTTGCCCCAAGAATAAATATAGCCTGTTGTTCCAGAAGAAAATCTTTAGGATGGAGCAAAACATAGGTGTGACTTCTGTTGACAGTAAGACACAGATACGGAGCTGGAAATCGTTTACTATGCCAAACCCCTGCAAGTTCAGTTTCCAAATATAAAGGGCTAGTGGCAATTAAGATGTAGATAGCTACATTTACACATCTTTAGGTGCACTAGTGTTTAAATTCCCATCAGAGGGGATGAAAATCTAGTCAATACCATTGACAAAGCCTAGACAGCAACCCAACTGACTGGTCACTGGGTATTTACTTTAGGGTAAAAGCTGAATTGTTCTCTCATCTCCACCAGCTGTATTGGCTACACCACTGACTACAGAGGAATCTCTGTGCACCTATAAACACCTACAGGCAAACACCTGGCAACATTCACATCCTAAACAGATTCCCAACCCTATGTTTGGTTAGACATAGAGTACCTTAATTCAAAGTGGTACCTCAGCTTCTGTGTCAGGCCACGTTAGCTAGAAAGCAGTCTTTTAGTGAGTTTATTCAACCATACTGTATGATCTACTACTTTGGACAAAACACTTCAAAGATAAAGCAATTACACTAGTTTTTTTTTAATGTAACAACCAACCTCATGACGATCATCTATAACATACTGGCTACCATCTAAGTATCCTAGCTAGCAACCACGTTCTTGCTCTATGTACAAAACTTGAGTTTGAAGCCATTTAATATTCCTTATTCTTCCCAAGTGACATACAGTATCAACAAAGTGAAGAACAAAAGGAAAAAAGGCAGTTATTTCAGTACATATTTTAGTTTAAAAAAGCTGTAAGTACAATAAAAATACAAGGAGGAGGACAGGACAAAGTTTCTTTGTAAATACTTATGTTTACCTAATATAGGTTGCTCCTTATATTGGTGCTGTTCTGTTGCTATAGTTAAAGTTGTGTCAATACTTCAATTATAAACCTCTGTTTGGAGGGCTTTATACCACCACTTTATATGGCCCATTTAAATTAGGTGGCCTTTTTTTTTTGAGAGAGGTTTACTGGCTTTGGATGCTTTTTTGCACTTGTGTATCTTTTAATAATTTCTCTCTTTAAATAATACAAAAGGTACTTTGCAAGCAACTATTTCAAAATTGAAATAGATACTGGTAAAGAAAAGCAGGACAAAATTCATTCTGCATTTTCTACATATAATATTGAAGGTAACTGTTTATTGTGTGTATTGCAGCATGCATCCGAAAGGAGCTAATTTGAGCTCTCTAATATGCCTGGTGTTATATTATTTTCAATAATACATCTTGAAAAATAGACTTGAAGAATCCCTCCTTAGCCTCAGGTAAATGCATTTTTTTAAAGGGTAGAAATACTTACGTATGGGATTCAAACATGCATTTTAATATACTTGTTCAGTTATGCACTAATGAAACCACAGCTATTTGGTCATGTTCATCACATTAATACAAATTTATAAGCAGCACTCTAGTTTTCTGATCTTGTTAATTTTTCTGTAGACAGTTACAAACGCATCACAGTCATTTAAAAACAAAGACTATTCCTTTAAAAATACCCAATTTAAAATGCAATTTAGTATTAGGAAAAAACAGGCTGGCTTGTGCTGTCATTGAGGAGTTCACAGTTCAAAAGCTCGAGCTCGGTCCAATTTTTTTTACCCCCAAGAAAACAACCGAACCACACCACCATTCCATACTGTGAATAGGTGACATTTAACTATGTGAATAGGGAAATACATTGTTTCTCGTTAGTCAAATAAATGGTTTCTATAAAGACTTTTGTGAGGAAATAATTGTGTTAGGCTGTGGTATCCACTAGCAAAATTAGAAGGAAAACTAAAATTCTGTAGGACTTACTCTCTACAACAACAATCAGATGCAAAAGTTAGAGAGTATTAAAAAGAAGCAGAGAGAGGAAGGAATTTAGTTTGAAATTAAAAGGGTTAAAGTTTTCATCTCTCTAATTCACCACATTTTGAAGGTACCCATTTACTTTGAATAATTACTACATTAAGATGGATTTGTCTCATGAGAAGTGACACACACATTAACGACATCCTAAGAAACATGTGGCACAGTGGGAAAGGGAGGACATGAGGTAGGAAGAATCAGTCTGCAGCTGGGTAATGTTTAAAGCTGACACACAAACCAGAACTGTAATAATGCCCTTAAGAGACATGCTCGTCTTCTTGAGAAACAGTTAAAAGCTTACTTAAAATCTTTGCAATCGGCATCCATTCCATTTGGCAAACCTCTGCCATTTATTTTAGTAACATCCTCATCATCTCCTTGTTTAAGATCTCTGTTTTTGTCCTCCTCAAATGGAGAAGCCTTGCCTTTCTGATCTCCTTTCTCAGGTCCATCTGTTTCAGCATCTCTAGTGCCCTGAGGAAAAAGAATCTGTTTGATTCTGAATATTGAACAGAACACAATAGGAGCACCACAAGGTGACCTAATTCTACACTACAGTGCACGTAAACAATACAAACAGTTTGTTTTCAATGAAATTGCATTTGGTAGGTAACTTGGTCATCAAGTTTCAACCACATGCAATTAATAACTGCCAAAATGTGAAAAGGAATGCCAAGATTTATAATGGAAGACCTAACTCAACCTTAACTATAGCGGTGCTGTTAAAGCAGTAACACTTCGAATTAGATAAAGTTTATTTTATGCAGTTTTAAACATCTAGTACATTTATATTTTAAATATCTAGTACAAAACAAACCCATATGGAAACATAGAATACGAAGATCTAGAATAAAGCCCATCACACATTTTAAATTAAGCTATTTGCAATCTTTTTCCTACCTTTATTTAAAGGTGTTAGGAAACTACCTTTTTTAAGACAGCTATTTAGTCAAGATTCCCAAACCACTTCCCTCTTCTGCCCCCTCCGACCAAGGAAGACAGACAGATAGCAACTACACACTTCCTTCTACAGAGAAGAGTTAAAAAAGGAAAACAGACAAATAGAGTGGAAAATATAACAAAAGACAGTAAGACCATAGTAGGTAACTAGGCAAGCTTAACACACTGCGTTACTTACAAAAGCTCCTTTCCTAAACCGGGAGTCCAATTTATCAGCTGGAGAGGAACTTAACACATATTCTACCATGCTCACTCCAAGGCCACCACTTTCTGATCGTGGAGACAATACAGCATTTACTTCACTGTTTCCATGAAAACCCTGTCCAGGCTTTCTCTGTACCATAATAGGTTGGGACATAGAATGGTCTGTTAAAAACAAATAAGTAAATAAAACTATTGTATTACTTGTAATGTTTTTGCATTTCATTACAGAGGCAATATTAAACAAGACCAAAATTAAATTAAATAAAAAACTCCAAATCCCAGTTTCAAAAAGTGTTATTGGCGCACAACCACCAGTGCAGTATACATTTTCACAGTTAAAATTAAAGGAAAATAAAATTTAATACACAATTAAAATTTATAATATTAATTTACTTCGAAATAACTTCTAGTAAACATGACTGATTTTTCAATACATATACATCAATCACTTACGAGGAGTTCCCCATGCAGTCTCTCTCCACTCATCACCAAGGAATATCCCTTTTTGTCCATCTTTTGCTGAATCATCAGGTTCCCAAAACTTTTTGGCAGGTAAAAGCTGTTCCAAAAGAGAAAATGGTTTTACTTAAAATATGCTTATAAATGGGCAAAAATTAGCAATATTATTAAGAGGATATGCAAGTAATTAATTTTAGATACCAAAGTCAGCTTTACATAAGGAAGTACATATTGCCAAGGAATAATTATAAACACTTATAAGTTATGTTTTGTTACTGAAGCTGATGCTGCATAAAGAAACTGCTCAAATGACCCAAACAAGACTGAGATTCTTATGAGGGAGAGATACAGAATATAGAAGCAGCTGTGAAAAAAGCTAATCAAATTAATCCCTGCATTAAACCAAGTCAATACTCTCAGCAACTTTAACTAACACTGCCTTGCTCAAAAACTTGGCCTTTAACTAATATTATCATGCTAACCAGAAACAGCAGCAGTTCATTGTAAAGTTCTGTTCACTTAGAAATGCATCACGTTCCAAATTTTAGAAAGCGACTAACACACACGGTGGCAAGTCAGCTCCTTCAGACCATAGGGATCTGCTGGTTACAAATCTGTGACATTCAAATTTGAAGTTCCACATGCCAACGATTTCATTTAGCTGTACGATTTTTTTTCATTACTACTTCTAAAGCAGAAAGTTTCAAGCTAGATCAGTATCACTTGTTGTACTGTCTGAGGACAGAAGACTTAGTGCGACATGACAGAAGCACCACACAAAAAAAACCCCTCAAATATCAGCATTCTTTTTACTTTTATTACTTTTACTTTATTCCTTTAACTTTTCCCATCGGTAGCAGTACAACTGCCAAATGCTGCATATCACATTTTCTCTTGAATACATAATCAAAAAACTGTATTCTCAGACTATATATTACATACTCTACAATGAAAACAACTTGCAAAAAAAAAAATAGGGAAGAGCTCTAAAGACAGCATTGTAATCCATCAAACTTTGCAAAATATAATGTTCAATTTAAAATTTTAAATTTTCTGAATTTAGAAAAAAACATGTAATCTGATAAAGCTTTGTTTGCAATAAACAAGTATATTCTGGAGCTTTTCAGCTCCAGCAGCAGTAAGTTCTTCTGTTACTTAAGTCTAAAAAACCCTTCTGAATTTCACAGCTGCTTAGTATGAGCCTTGATGAAAATACTAACAAGAGTGTTTTTTTTAGGTATTTCTTAATGCAGCATTGAAAAAGCTCGTGAAAACAGCTTAAAGAAGAGGGTAAGATTGCCATTAACAGGCCACAACATTAATACTAAAACAGAGGTGACAAGAGCTCCTGTGAAATAACTTAAGGATTGCTGATTGCTGTTTTTCTGTGCTGCCCAAAGGTCTTACCAGAAACAAAGTATTTTGACTAGCTAACCTACTGAAAGCCCTGGGTTCCTTAGATAAATGCATTAGCACAGAAGGACTCGGGGTGGAGGATGATAAACTGCCAAAGCTCAACAAAACTATAGGAGTGTATTATGCTTGCAAGACTGTGAATACTGTTATGGCCTGCCCTGACAGAGATGCCCACTTTCGCAATGCATGGGAGAATCATTACCAGGTGTCAACCAAACATACTTTGGATATTAAGTTTACCCTGAATTTAAGGGACAGAGAAATAGATTAATGGAATCTTACAACTACGGTTCAATTAAAAGCAAAAGATTGTAAATTTCAGATCAGCTTATGCAATCTACTCATCCTTTTTTAACTTTATATTGTAACAAGCTTCCAATACTACTTATTTTTCATTTTGTAGAATAGTGGTAGAACAGAAAGCAAACATTTCATGGTATCTATGAAACCTTGGTTTTGAGAAAGAGAATCACGTTTTATTTTAAATGCAGTCTGAGACAAGTTCAAATATGTGCCCAGCTGAGATGAGAGCTATGAGAAATACAAAAGTGAAGGTGTCACAACCTAACACAACCTTGTCAGAATGAAACACATCAAGTAATATCTTGGGTGTCAAACAACAATGAGCATCACCTTAAAGTATGCTTACCCTGAAATTAGTGAATTCCACTAGCAGACAGGTGTTCAGAGAACACAATGTTAAGAACAATATGCAAATTTAGAGCAGAAGACACTGCAATACCGGTTTTGATTTCAAAACTCATTTGCAGGATTTCTATCAGAGGAAAAAAACTGTCCACTGGTAGAAAGCAGCAATAATCCTCACTGCAAAAGTACAGGTCATTTTGGGGGGATTTTGTTGTTGTTAGTAGTGGGGTTTTTTGTTGTTGTTTAGGATTTTTCTTTACGTTTGCTTTGGGTTTTCTTTTTGTTTGGTTGGTTTTTTGTTTTCTGAGGTTTTTTTTGTTGTTTGTTTTGTTTTGTTTTTTTTTAAAACTACATACCCTCAAATTTCAAACAGATATATTCAACTGCTTGCGGTCCTCATGTACTCTGGTACACAAAGAGTATAGAATATCTTTAACACAAACCATTATGCATCATCTATAGCTCAAGAGGCTAAATTTAAACTGTATCCTATTGAAGATCAAACAGATTTACAGAAAAATTTTTTGTTAATTTCTCCACAACAAAGTAGTCCTTCAAATATTTAAATAAATGGAATTTTTAAAAGTTTACCATTTTGCATCTCCCAGAGGGCCAGTGATTTATATTTATTATTTACTGATTTTTGACATATGATGGATATGACATACACTATGTTCTTTTTAAAGGGATATTTTAGCTATTAGTTTGCCATGTAAATGGGTAGCCCCAGCAGCTGTCAACTATTTCACTGTGGAACTCAAAAAAAAACCAAGAAAGAGTAGAGTACTTTTCAGAAAAACAAAAAAGTGTGTTCCTCTTTAACAGACAAGAAAAAAACCCCACTTGATTAGTTCTACTGAAAAAGACTTAATCAAGAAGTCATCGCAATTTCATACAAGTAGCTAAAATCATTGTGCTTTACCCTTTGATAATATGCGTTTTGCTCAATATTTCCTGCATTTAATCCAATAAAAAAAGAAACTTTACAAAGATACATCTAATCCTAATTCAAAATAATGGAAAAGATTGCTGTATTTCTTACTAAGCTCTTCCAACAGTCTGCTAAAAAGTGTCTTTTTCAGTATCAGCACTGATCCCTGTTATGCCTCTGCCAGATGAACAAAGCCCTTTTCTATGCATAGATAATAACCAATTATGCTAAATCTGCCTCTTAACCACCTCTCTGATAAGTAACTGCACAGTCTTGATTACTGGCCCTTGAATTAAGGGATTTTTTTTTTTTTTTTAATTTATTTTTAAGATCAGAAGTTATCCCTACAGAGCCTTCTACAATTTCCCTGAATGAAGTTTTGACTCCAGAAACAGATGCATTGTCCCAAACGTGAAATTTGTGTGTGCTTTGACCCTGTAAGTTTTTATAAGAACAGACATTATCAAAAAAAGATGTAGTTTTATATTGTTTGGCAATTAATTTTATGTATGCCTGTGTAAGGTCACACTAAAAGTCCTGAAGCCCACTATGCTTAACCCTGAAATAGCAAACAACAGATGCCTAGCGAAGAGAAATTGCACCATGTGTCAGTATTTCTTCAGAATAGTATCACGACCTTAAGGGTCATGATAGCTTTTGGCAGCTGCAGCCAGAAGTATCATCCGTGTTTAATCAATCTAACAGCTAAAATTTTAGGAGACTTTTAGAGAAAGACACCTGCAATACAGCAGCTCTCTTGCTAATAAAACTTCAGTCTGTTTCTTTACAGAATAAACTAACCAAGAATTGCGAGACAGAAACAGATCAAGGAAACCATACATCTGGCTCATGTTATGCTGTCCTATTCCTGATACTGATTGATACTAGGCTCCATCTGAATGCAGCTCAGATGGATAGCTTAGCAGAAGGATTTCCAGTATGTATTATTTCCAAAATGTGTTATGGTACAATGAAAATAAGATTTCATACTATATTCCTTTACATTAGCACATGGAAGAGATACTTGCTTGAGAATTCACAGACAGTCTTGATTTTAGTAGTAATGTGAAAAGTAAGACTTAACAGCCTCCTAATGTCAAGTACTGATTCCCAGTCAGGAAAAAAAAGACCAAGAAGGATTAGAATTATGAACAAGAAATTAATTTCAGTTCAGAGAAAAATGTACCCAGACAGAAAGCATGAGGAAGAGAACAACTTCCCAATGGCTAGAAGCAGATCACTTGACATGACCTCCCTTTCACACCTTTCAAAGTAGACAGAGGGCAGCACGTAAGAACGTACAACTACCAATTCTAGCTTACAAGGGTATTTAGGAGGACATTTCGTTTAATAATTTGGAAGCTTATAATCAAAAAGGCGGATAAAACAGCCATGGAATCTATTCCAGAACTACTTTACTGTTGTGCAATACATTAAGGAAATTACTAAGTAAGTCAACCTAGCTATGTGAACCTGCATTACCTCAAGATACCTGGAAGACACCACTGAAATGAAAGACATAATAACCTAATAAGTGCAGGGTCACAATATAGTACCAATTTCTGATGCTGTATTACTGCACCATAACTCTGGCTTTTTGTGTGTATGGATTTTGTTGTTGTGCTTTTTTTTTTTTTTTTAAAACATCTTCACAGATCCACAGAGTACCATGAAAACAAACAAACAAAATCATAATCATGCAGAAATATCTCCCTCAATCTGAGATAACCTAAAACGAAGATCTGTATGAGCAGTCATATGTACCTCAATTTAATTCCCAGGCATTTGTGCCATCCTTCGCTTTCACTGCTTTCAACCTTTCAGAGTACTTTGTGGGTGGCAAAAGAACAAACACCAATATGAGTTTTACCGATCCACTCTTATCACACTGTTGATACTATCATAGATACCTTACTAACACCTTTACCTTTCAAAAGGAGTTTTAACAGATGGGGGAGCAGAGGGAAGCAAGCAAGCATATCCAATGTGGCTACTCAACCTTCTAAAGAACAGGGCTTCAGCTATTACTGCTTTTTCAAAGGGGAGATTGTTCAAGAAAGTCAACATGGAACCCTGGATGAAGCAAAAATTGCTGAAAAGCCAACTGATTGGTTAAATGCATCATTAAAGTAGAAAAATCAAGTAAGAATAGCCATGTGTCAGCATAGAACATGGCATTCAGCAACTAGAACATGGCATTCAGCAACTAGAACATGGCATTCAGCAACTAGAACATGGCATTCAGCAACTAGAACATGGCATTTGTTTTTCATCAGTAAGTTACAGTTTCTGTAGAGATCACAGTCTTACCATTTTAAGAAAGTTAGGCTGAAATATTGTCACTGGTTCAATTATCAACTGAATTACGTAAATATCCAGCAAGGCAAAAGGATCAGTATTTGAAATCTTAGTTCAACATGAATTTATTTCCTTACCACGTCCTGTCAGGGCAAGTAACCCTAATGCATGTTGATTACTTTCTGAACAGTTTAGGGAACTGCTTTTGAAGGAGCTAAGTCATCCTCCATGATCTCAATTTTTTCTTTCCCCCTCAAAAGTACACTTAAGAAAACCACAATAACCAAACCAATCAAAAAAAGTCCTTCTTCCCTTTAGCTAAATTAAACAATAGCACTCTTCACCCTGATTAAAATCTTCTTTTAAGGAGTAATTACCAGTGAAAACAAAAATAGTGAATTACCACACATTTCTGCTAGGGTATGCCAGTTTCACTTTTTCTGGAGCCAAACCTTTTTCAGATCCCAGTCTCCTCAGCTTCTCAGAGGTAGTAAGCAATTTTTTCACTAACTTAGATACAGTGACACTGAAAACATGCCTCCTTTCATAGAATTGCACAAACTTTCAACCAAATTACACTGTCACTTCCTCAAGACTATCAGTCATCTAAGACGACTGACATAGTAAAACAGTAGATCCAGTCAACAACCACCCCAGTATTCTTGCAAAGTACTTAATTTTCACCTTAGAACAGAAATTTTCAGTTGCCTGAAAAATCAATTTGGTCTTACAAGAAGCTCTTTGCTTCATGTTGTATTATTTCAGACTTCTTAAATTGTATAACATTTCCAAACTACCAACTGGATTTTCAGCCCTCAATAATTACCTCTCCCATTCCCCGAGATTCTAGGGCAAGAGCTTGAAACTCATGATTCATCTCATCCACAGATCGAACCTGTAGGAGGAAAAACAAGAGAGTGATCCATTAGTCAAATATATTTTCAAAAATTGAGTTTGTAATACTCCACAAGATTTTTGACAATTGAAAGCACACTCAAAATTTGCTACTCAATCGAGGCTGAACATGGTTTTAGATTTTGTGAACAGATATAGTTAGTGACCAATTTAATGAACCATGCTAATACAATAACATGCAAGAAATTCCAAGAGACTTTAAAATTTTAATCTTCATATATCCGGTTGAGTATCACTCACTATGGAAACAATGACCAATATTGCATTTGCAACAAATGCAAAAAAAAGTTAAATTAAAGATTTGGACATACTATATCCTTTGGAAAGGAGATGAGCCGTTGCACACAATGTTACTGAGTACACTTAGCAGCAAACAAAGAAAAGCTCACAAGACAGGTCACAAAAGCTACTAGCAATGTGTGGCTTTTAAAATCTAGTAACTGACTGCATTGTCACAATTTCTTGTGCTTTCTTCCAGGAAACAGCACTCTTTATTCTCTGTGTGTTGTCTTTTTTTGTTTGTTGTAAATATGAAAGGTGTATTACTAAAGCAAGAGCTGCTGCTGCAACAAACCACCTCCTTTTCCACAGCATGCAGACACAATGCACTGGGTGCATTCTTTCCTGAGAAAATGGTTTCCACAAGGAATTTTCAAAGCCATGACAAGCTTAGAAAAACAAATAAAAAAGGAAAATTCAGTTGTTTCTCCCCTTCCCTTCTTTCTCAACAGTGAGATGCTACAGGGTGAAATGATAAAGTTATTCAAGTTCAAAGTAAAATTAAAGTTTCCCTCCCAATACTAGGCTCTCCTGAGGAGTTAATTTCACCTAGTAAACCCATCTGTTTACATTAACAAATAAAACAAAATGAAGTTACTCCATACAGCTGATAACACATTAAGACCACTTTTCAAAAAATACTCGAACACTAGGCAAAGAAACAATCTTGTGCTTTTAATATTCTGGCACAAACAACTTTTTCAATTCTTTCTTAGCATTGGAAAAGCGTTAATTACCTGTCAATAGATGCTCTACTCTCAAAATTCTACTCTCAAGGTATTGTTATTGCCCCATAATCATTATAAACCATTAACTTCTGAGGTTGAGTGTCTCTGTACTTTTGAGGAAGATATTTCACAGCTCAAAGAAATATTCCCTCAGAAAGAACAATATTTTAGTTAAAATGGATTCTGAAACCAATTCCCAACAACTTCAGTGAGCTACTGAAGAGCAAATTTAATTTCACAGTGAATTATGGGGGGGAATCAGCACCCTGACCTTTTTCCAATGATGCTGACATTTACGTCAATTGGGTTGATTTTATTCTTTTAAAAACTGAAAGCAGATTTTCATGTATCCTTAAAAAAGCTAAAGACATTTTTTTAAATGAATTAAAAAATAGATTATTTATAATTTATGTGAAAGAAGCTCTTTTTTTACTAGCTCCAAGGGATAGTCAAATCTTTGTGCATGCACATAGAAAAATTAACTGTAGAAAAGGAAATATTCAGAAAGAAAAAAATCAGAAATTCCAATTTTGAAGACTTCTGAATTTTGATATTAGTTTCTGAAAACAGGATTTCTTCTACAGATGGTTGAGAGTTGATTATCTTACCATAAGCCACTCCCCATGCTGAAGTCATGCACTTTAGTTTCAATTACAATCAAATAGTAAATTAGATACTTCTGTTTCAAAAGGTAGTTTTGTTCTAACAGTATCTCTAAAGAAAATTTGTAGCTAATACTTGCCAAACTGTATTTACCATAAACATTACCCAAGTCACTGTTAGATAAAAAACAAGCAAGCTTGAAAGATGTTGAAGTTTTTTGGTTGTGGGTGTTTTTTTTTTTATTTTGGGTTTTGGGGTTTTTTTTGGTGGTGGTGGTTTTGTTTGGAGTTTTTTTTGTGCTGCAAGACCTAATACCAAATGCTTATTTTTCACAATTCAGCAAGCCCAAAACCATGGCCACACACACTTCCAAGTCTCCAAGAAAAGACAATCCAAGAATCAGGGTAACAGCACAGCGAACTCCTTTTTTTCCTGAGCAGTTCAGAGTCAACTCTAAGAAACTGAAGTTTTCCGGAACCATAAATAAACTGTAGTACACTGAACACTGATTTTGCTCACTGTCCCCCTTCTTACAAACATGAAATTTAAGTTAGTGTTATCTACTGCTATCAGCAGCAAGAGAAATAATGCAGTCCTTTTACTGTAGCAAAGAGGGTCTCCATTTCCGTTTCCATCAAAAACAGCAGCCCCAAATCCTATCCCGTATCATAAATACATCTTTCACAGATCAGTTTACAGACTGGAGAAAATACAGGCAGCACTAATTATCTTGTGAAGATCTGCTTTCTTCAATGCTAGCCCTATCACTACAAAAACATCCAGAATAGTGACAACCAAGTTAGATCTACTGCATATAAAGACATGTCTTCTCCCTGAAGGAGAAACTTTGGTTAGGATCATCTATATTACCAGGAAGTTTTATTTTCTCTAATTCAATGCCAACATTCACCTAATTCATATGTTCCAGAAATAAACATTTTTAATATATATTTTTTTTACCTCAAATTCAGAACATGAAAAAAAAAACCTCTCTATTTTTATTTAATTCCTTGTCATTTGGAATAATATGTAAATCAAAAAAGAGGCCTATGAAACATACTGCTCAACATTTACAATATTTTCCTGGTTTTGGTTGATTACATCTTTTTTCTTGTTTTTTTTCTCCCCCACAATCACTCTGAAGACTCCTCTTTCTCCATTTACCACCTACCTGCTTGTGGGATTAGTTGCCAGATCTAATCTTAGTTTTTAGGAGTTGAACGCTAATTAGCCTTTCCAACTAAGAGAAGCTGGCAATGGTTCCACACTTCTGATACACATCAGATCACTCCACAGGCCCCCAAATTATGCACAAATGGATACCACACACCAAAGCAGTCTTTAGGTACAACAATTCCTCACACACTGCTGTTAAATAGATAGAACGGCTTAAGCGTATCCATGAACTTTTCCCCTTTGACATACCAATAGAAAATTCTGATCTTTTTTCCCTTCCACAGAAACTGGATACAACATACCAGCATGTATTAGTCCATTTTTCATCACAGCATTAGGAATGAGATTTTAACACAGAGTAAAAACAGAATTGTATTTTTTTAGTAGACTCTTTCTTCTTAAAGTTTACATTCTTTCTCACCCCCCTGAAATTTACAATATAATTTATTTTAAATCTAGAGGCCTACGCAAAAACCTTCCTGTACGCTGTCAAAACTCCTGGTAAGAGTAGTTATCTCATTTCTACTGTATTTCACTACTACCTCACACTATGTCCTCTTTTCCTGAATGCTGCAACATTAACAAATAAACCGAGTTCATGACAAAGCTAAGCACCTAGCCAGCTACTGACTAACGGGACAGTCCTTCCATCCTTCCCCCAACAGCTTTTACCACTCCCCTTTTAATGAACTTGATAATCATCAAGTAAAAGGTTTGATTCAGAAGGTTTTTCTCCTTCTTTGTCTGTGCATGAGAATTTCACCAGATCAGCCAGCTGAACTGGCTAAAACACCACAGCAGCGAGACCACGAGATTTGACACAGGGAAAGCAACATGGAGAAACTGGTCTGGAGCAAGGTGGAGTAGGAGTACCTGCTTAGTGGAAGCTAGATGATAAACCAGTAACATGAAACCATGTCCTGACATAACTCAGGACAAAATTCAGAAGGCAGACTGTTGACTGGATAGTCAAGTAGTAGGATTACCACAAGAAACACTGCTTAAAATAATACCCATTTCTGGAATCCAGGCACCCAGATCCAGATCTAAGGACAAGTACTCTCTCCAATAACCCTGAATCCTGCCAGAAATCAGCTTCTAACCATTTTCTTGCAAAAGCAAAGATCAGCCCCTTCTTTGAAAAGAGTTGGAGAAAAACAACAAAACAAAAAATATGATATAAAAGAGAACAATATGACTTCATTTTATACAACAGAAGTGGTTAAACCAGCTGACCAGAAAGTAGGAAAAACACTTTTTCTGCATTAAGAAATTCCAAATCTCATCCCTCCCCTCCCAGGTGAATACCCTAACCAATATGACAAAGACAAAAAGGACACATTTTGCAGTTGAAGCTGTGGTACTAGGCCAGATATTCAACACAAAACACCTGGTAATTACAGTACTGTGACTGGAAAAAAAGGGAAGCTGCTGTTCACATTGCAAATGCTTCAGCCTTTTTCTTTATTTTGCTGAATGACTTTAATGCAAAATACCTTTCTAGTAGTTTTCTACAGGGGTGGCTCTTCTGCAGCATTTATCTTATGTATGATATATGCTTATGGCAGAGACTTAGCATTATTAGCAAGTTAAACTCATTTAAGAACACAAAAATGGTTCTATTTTAAAACACAATACATAGCAATTATGCCAGCCCTCCATTAAGTTAAACACTGTCTTGTAAAGTCATGTCAGACACTTGACTAGATATTAAAAAAAAAACCCCAAACCCAAAAACATTTCAGATGGGTAGCCAGCTTGAAATTACTAAATGAAAATAATATTTTAATACAAATTAAAACATTAGACACAAATCTAGTAGAGATTTGTAACAAAGGACAACAAGGGAAAACTATACAAGCCTAAACTGCAAATCCCCAAATCTCTATCATGAAATATTGCAGTTCAGGGCTGTATATAGAGATTTCTATCCTAGAATATTTTGCCAAATTACCTAAACTGTCCTTATTTTCGTTTAAAGGTCAGCCGATAGTGCATCCAGATAACAAAAGCTGTTGAGCAGCTGAGGAGGCAACTACTAAAATCACAGCTGAACTGTTTTGTACACAAGTTGGTTACAAAATACTAAACATTTTGAGAAAACAAGGCATTTGTTTGATTAAAGCTGCCTTTGGCTAGATACATCTTCTCATACCTCTTTGAAGCATCAAGGAACCAAAGGTCCACTTACTAC